ATTTAATTGATTGATTTATAAAATAATTAATAATTTATTATATTATTATCAAAAATAAATAGTCTTTTCTTTTTTTATGTTAATGATTAATTATTAATAATTATTTTTCTATATTATTTTATATATTATATATTCTACATTATATATTATTTCATCACGTACTATTCACAACTATTTATTATTTTTTTTCTATAAAAATTTGTTAAAAAATCAAAGACATATTAATCAAAATATAAATATAATACTATAAAAATATAAAAATACAAAATAAAATCGGATAATTTTTCGATAATAAATTGATCGATAATAAATCGATTATTAATTTTACTTATTCATTTCCAATTTTTCCATTATATGAAAACTTAATATTTTTGTTTTTTTATACATTAATTTAATAAAATCTTTATTTTATTAATTATTTTAATTATTTTTATTTAATCATTGTTCTCATTATCTATCTAATATTTAATTATCTATAGACGAAAATAGATATACACTATTTCGCAAAATAATATTTTTAACAAATATTTTCTATATTTTAAAAAAAAACTTATTGTAAAGATTTATATTAAAAACGAAAATTAAATTTATCATTATTAAAAAATAAATAATTTAATTACTTCGTTATTTTATCTTTTTTTTTTAATTTTTAGAAGAATGGCATAATTCATTAAAAATGAATAATTATAATATTTGTACTTTATTAATTATTTTGTTTAAAATTGAGAATATAAATAGAAATCATAATTATTTTCTATACAATGGTAAATGAATTAAATTTATTAAAAAAATTATTCAAAAATAAAGATGAAAATATTAAAAATCAATTAACAAAGAAAAAATCCAATTAAAAGTACAATATTAACAAGATTTTTACGATTTTTTATGTTTAGATTCCTTGATTTTATGATGTTTAAGAATTTAGAGGCTTAGAAGAAATTTATATACATAACATATATCTCTGCTTCTTTGAACATTTTAATTTAATACAATTTGGAATTAAATAGCTCCTAATTTTTTTCAATATTTGACTATGTATTGGTAAATATTAAATAAGTAAATAATCGAAGCTGTACATATTAAAAATCAAAAAAAAATTTAATCAAATTGAGGATCATATAAATTTTGAAAAGAAAACCCGAGATTAAAAAATAAAAAAATAGAAAAATCGTAATCTTTATATGTTTTTAAATCGCTATCAAAATTGCAAATGATTATGCTTCCATATTATTTCGGGATTGCGGATCTTCGAAGTGATTCAATTCCACTCTAGTAAACAGAAAAGTCGCTTAAGAAAGTATGTCAAATAGAAAGAGATTAATTATATATCATAGAACGAAACAAATATATGATCGAAAATTTCAGGGAAAAATTTCGATATTTTAATCGGGCGAAAGAAGAGATAAAAAAGATGTTAGTTGTTTCTCTTTGAATTTGAACTAATTTTTTTAAGAATATAACATTGAAATTATACATATATGTTATCGAAAATCGATGATCTATTAAAGTTTAAATTTAATTTTAAAAAATAAATAAAGAAAATTTATAATTTTAATATATTATTATGCATTACTTCTTTTTTTTAAATTATAGTTAATTATAGTTTTTTTAAAATATATTTAAGAAACTGGAATCAATCTTCCGATATAATTTACATAATTTATAACATAATTTACATAATTTTTTAATTTATGAGTTCATTTTATAAGAAGAAACATTTCAATTATATGAATTATATTATTCATGATAATATTAAATTATTATGTAATAACAATAATATTATTCAACTTTGATTATTATTCAAATGATACATAATGATATGATATTATACAAAAATGATATGATAATTTAGAATTTAATTTCGAATATTTGTATAAATGTTAAATATTTGTATAATATAATATAATGTTTAATATTATATAGACATAACATTTTTATATCGTATTTATATAATTTATAAAATATTATATCGCATAATATTTTTACAAAAATTGCAATAAGCAAGTTATAAAATTGTAGCTATGCAATACTGGTTGTATCGATATTGAAAAAATGAATTTATAATTTATATAAAAAAATTCATTTTCATTATTTAATATTATTCTTATATTAATTATATATTGAAATTTTAATGAAGCAATCTATTTTATATTTATAAGTCTTTGATTATAATTAAAAAATTTTAATTATCATAATCTTATTTATTTAGAACGTAGAATAGAAATGCAAAAAAAATCATCAATAATGATAAGCGACTCCAACTATTCACTCATCTATCAGGAATATTTTTTTAAAAATAAAATTGTTTTTCTGAATTTGAATTAATATGTAATAAAACTGCAATTCTAATAAAAAAATTATTCCAAAAAATCAACGATTTTATACAAATTTTTGTAAACTTTTTTTAAACATTATTTCTTTTCCTATTTTTTTTTTTTTTTTTATTCAAATTTCTTCTTTTTTTCGCTATCATGTTAGAAAAACTTATTTTCCAGATTTCTTACCTAAACCGCGAAATGGATGATCGCAAGACCTCGAAACAATAAGTGAATGGAATGTTTTAACATATAGCACGTCACTACCATCGACAATATAGTAAAACGAACCATGAAGTACTATTTCAAGGGAAATCATTTGCTTTTGCATGCTTGAAATTTATTCGAACGGTCAATACAAATTGCTACAGAAAATAAAAGAAAAATCAAATATATAATAATGATTACTTTGATGATATATAAAAAAGATGAACGACATTTTTTTTCATTATTTTATCTGTTTTGATAAATTATATATGTATTTTATGAAACGAAACTGAATGAATTTTTAAGAGAATTTTTGCAAAAAAGGAAATTATAATTATTGAAAGTAAATTAATCAGTGATGTAATATTGAATAAATAAATTATAATTTTAAAGTAATATATAAATATAATGTAAATTTTAAATAATTTCATAAGTTCTAAGAAATTAAAAGAAATTGTTTTCAAACTTCCAACTTTTTAAGAGGAAAAAATATATATTTTAAAAATAGAAAATTTCAATTTTGAAAATTTTAGAAATTATTATAATTGAAAAAATTTAAAAAATTACCATTAATTTCAAAAATTAAAAATTATCAGAATTAATAGATAATAAAAAGTTTATATATAAAGAAATTAAATTTTTAGAATTTGAATGTGAAATTTTTGAATGTGATTTAACAAAAAAAAGTTTTATATTAGCAATTTGTATAATTTTCTGTAATTCAAAATATTAAAATATGTATTTATTCACAATATATTATATGAATTCAAAATATTATAAGAAACATAAAAGAAGAATAGAAACCAATTTTTTTCCCTAGGATTATCTGTAATCAATTTTTTTTTTTTTTTTCTTCTTTTTCTCATCAAGAAACAAATAACATTGCAAGCTGATTTAATGAAATTTGAAACCTATTTTTGCGCAGTGAAAAATATATTATCAGTGAAAAAAAATATAAACTTTATCAGCACTTTTTTTTTGCAAAGACAAGATCAATGATAATGGAATATTTGCTTAAAGGCTATATTCTGAATTTCAATAAATTTTAATATTAATTCAATGGAAATTTTGAATAAAAGAAAATTTATTTTCAGAGAAATATATTTCTCTTACTTTTTATTGACCTCCAGTAAATTCTTTATTGAATAAAAATTCTATTTCACTAATATCTTATCAAAATTTAAATATATTTTAAAAAATCTATAATTAAAAAAAGAATATATTTAAGAAAATATATTAAAGAAGATATTTAACATATATATTTATTAATAATTATCATTTAAAGATAATATATATAAAAATTACAAAATCATATTAAAATCACAGTAATAAATTATTCATTATTGTTATATATATAAATATATAAAATAAATTATAAAAATTCATCAATTGTAGATAATTAATTTCTAATGAAATACAAATAAATTATCTACAAATATTATTATTTTACAAATAAAATTAAATAAAACATATAATATATAACATTTTTGCAATTAAAAATTAATTTTTCCAAAAATCAAATTTGGAAATCGATTAAATACATGAGCAATTGATTATTTCTTAATTATATATTTTCAATTTTGATTTTGTAAAAAAAAATTATTTTCTTTTCTTATTTCTTATTTTACTTATTTTCTCACATAGAATAACCTTATATGGACAATTTGTAAATGTAATCGAGGATTAAATTTACTTGTATTTAAAAAATATTTAAACTTGATTTATTCAAAAACCTTAAATAAAAATAAAATTGTTTTTTTTTTAATTCTTATCAACCGTGGTAAATCAATAAATATTTATATACTTTTTATATTATAATTATATATATAATTGTAATATTTTAATACAATATATATATATATATACATTGTATTAAAATATATATATATATATATATATGTATATATTAATACAAATTATTAATATCTTTGACTCTTTAAGAAGTATATCTTCAATTCTTTTTTATGAAAATCTTTTGTATTTTCATCTTTCAACATAGTTTAATATAGTTTGGATGTATCTAAAAATTTCTTATATTTCCAAATAAATCAATACTTTTCAAAAATTTATTCATTAATTATTTAACTAATTATGAAAAATTATTATTGTTCACAAAAATTTTCCCTAAATTTTCTAACAATAATCCATAATTCATTTCGAACAATATCCAATAAAAAATTCCTTGTTTATCTGCAATAAATAAATTAATTTTTCTCTAATTTCTCTAAATTCTTCATAAATTTGATAATAAATAAAATTCTTCTTTTATAAAAATCTTCCCTATTCTCACTTTTCAACGATAATCCATAATTCATACTTCGAACGCATCCAACAAAAAATTCCTCTTCCATTCAACTTAAAAAAAAACAACTTTCTTTGAAATCATTCATCTATTGTTTATCAAAAACTATCATTCTTCGACATTAACACAAGCTAAATATAATAACTTACTGGTACTGGTTATCGTATTCGCCCTAATAATAGATCCTTTGGACACGTATCACCGGAGCTCCGTAAAAAATCTGTCTTTCTAAGATGACTCTCTAGGCTGAAAATGTGATCCGGCCTGATGGCGAGTTCACTACGAAATACGGAGATGCAAGAGCGTATGTACTACTTATCAACTCTACGACGACCCATAAAACCGCGTCGACGAAATCCCCCACGCGATTCTTTAGTTCGAGTGGTCTGGATTGAAATAAAATGAGAAAAACATCAAGAAGAATAACAACATTAGAAATAATGCTACTTAATATTCATAATTAAAATAACCTTTGAAGATGTTATTTTTATTATTTTTTACAATTATAAAGATGTTTTTCTCTCCGTTTTTTATTTAAACGAAAGCAAAATATTTCATTCTATCCATTTGTCGTAGAGATAAGTCATAGAGAAAACTTCAAAATTTTTAAAATTTCAAATTCTCAGATTTTCAAATGTTTTTATTTTTATACAACAAAGGAAGATAATGAAAATATAATAAAAAAATATAATATATTATATAATTAATTATTTAATTATTATAGATTTAATCCTTCGTATATATAATTTCAGAATAGTATATAGAGATCGGAAATGATAAATATTTTGATTTAACTTTTTCTATTCAATTTAATTTTATTACAAAGAATATTGTATCATAATTATTATTTTCTAAAATGGTTAAAAAATAACGAATAAAATTAAATCAATAATCATATAAATATATTTTTGGTTATCCAATGTACAAAATAAACATACAAAAAGTGAAAAAAAAAATATAGAAAAACATAAAAAAAGGTAAATTAGTAATTGTGATATTTCATAAATATAATATTTTTTCTACAAAATGAAAGTAAGAGAGATATCATTTTATCATTACGACTCTGTTATTTTTTAAAATTTTTATTTTAATTTTTATTAATTTATTACAGAAATTTAATTGTCTTTGTATTTTATAATATAATTGTAACTTTTACGATTACATAATTTTGTATATAATATAATATAATCGTAAAAAAATATATATATAATAATATATAATCGTAAAAAAAAATTGTTTAAATTAATAAAAAATTCTTTATAATTTTATTAATTCTTTAATTAATAAAAGCTTCTTTATGAATTCTTAACAATTGTCTCCTAAATTTATCATATTATTTAATTTTATTACTAAATTTATAATATTAAACAGAATTTATAATTTTCATACACTTTGTTTATAAACTTAAATAACTGTTGTTAAATAACTTATTCATATTGAGTTTTCGTATTTGAGTTTTCGAATTTAGAATTTTTATAAAATTTAAACATGTATATATGTTTACATGTATATATTTTTAATTACAGTTTTTAATTTCATAATTTTTTTTAAAATCAATTTATTATATAAATAAATAATTAAGAATAGAAAAAAAGATTTGATTTTTGTAATAACATTTTTGTAACAATATTTTGGCGAATTAATTTATATTTATATTTTTGCGTACATAATTAATGCATGTTTTGTAATCATAAAATTATTAAAACCAAAAATGGCATACATAAGAAAATTTTCTTCTCTATTAATACTTTTTTTCAACAATCCGATAAAAATATCGATATAATTTTTTGTCAAAATGAGATATATTTTTCACGGCTCTGAAATTAATTAACTTACAAAAAATGAAATCTATTTATATCATTTTTTAAAAAAGCAAGAAAATTAGATTATATTTTTAAGAAATCAATTTTTTATAACTGGACATTTGAATTAATATTTGAACACATTGACCATAGAGTACTAGAAATTATTGCTTTACATGTTTGTTTATTATAACTATAGAATTGATTTTAATACACATTAAAATATTTAGTTAATACAAATATAGATTTTATTTATTTAATGCATACAGTTTTTTGTATAATAAAATTTAAATTCAAAAAAAATATTTGAATACCTAATTCGGACAACAAATAAATTAAAAAAATATATAAATAACAATTTTTTATTAAAAATTAAGATAAGTAGATAATTAATTATATAATTAGTATATTAAAAATTATTTTCTGTTAAGAAACTTCA